TGCAGTAAATGATTCACCAGCACCACACACACTCCCACTGTGGGCACCTAAACTTCCCCAGCAGTTGCCACAGGCAGAGCTCAGTCATATCCACCGTACACAACAGGAAGCAAGCCTGAAGCATGTGAGAACTTTTTTCTCTTGTCAAAATGCTTTGGTCCCTTCATCTCATTTCCAAAGAGATGAAAATACCAGCCCACAGTTTTCCTTGAACACTGAAAGAAAGGAAACTGTGCTTTCCAGAAATGCCTCAACCCCATGACCTTTCCTCTCCCCAGCGTGCCAGCCCACAGCTCCTGCCAAGCCCCCACACACTCTGGCAAGTGGGTCCCTGCTCTGAGTTGCTGCTGCTGCTCCTCCTGCTCATGGTTAACCCAGCTTCTGCTGACTCATCACTTGCCTGACCTTCACCTGGAGTGCGGTAATATGTACCAGTCAGGTACCACTCCTCCTTGCAGAGCTGCTTCCCTCTGGGTAGTTTCCATAATTTAAAGGGAGGTGTTCACAGAGGCAGTAAAACCAGGTGCTCACAAGTTCACAGTGGTGTAGAGAATTGCTAGGGGCTCAGGAAAAACAGAAAATGGTAGGAATTTTCTCCTGCCATCTGTATCTGACCTCTTACCAAAAACCTCTTGGAGTGATTTTGGGGTGGTTTTCTTCTTCAGTTTCCTTCTGTCTTGGAGCTTTCTGTATTCTCCTATAGGCAAGGCTGGTTATTTATTGCTGGAAGCCACTCCAGAACCCTGGCACACCACCTTGCTGAGGGTGGAGGTCGTCTAGTCCCTGGTTCAAGCAGGCAGACCCGTTGCCCAGGGCCTTCAGAGTGCTCTTTGACCCTTGGAAAAGGCCTTGAGGAGGCTGCAGCTGAGAAACCAGGGCAGGAGACACCTCCTGTGAACTGCAGGACCCACAGATGTCCACAGAGCCTGATCATCCCCATCATCTCTGCAGCCCAAACCTGCACTGAAAATAGCTGACAGACCCAGCTCTGCTAGCAAGAGACAAGAAAATTCTGCCTCTTTAGGCCCTTCACCCATAAACCGGTATTAGACAATATATCCTAGAGGGATAGCCCTTTCCTTAAGGGACTCTGGGCTTATGCTACATGGTGATCCCAGCACAGCCTCCCCAGGGCCTGGGGCCAGACACGTGGGTCGTCCTTGCCCAGGGTGGACTGAGCACCCACAGGCACTAGTGACACCCCAGCCTGAAACAGTGCTCTCCCCTAGAGCCAGACCTGCAGGGCACAGGTGAGTTGAGCTCACCGCTCTGGCCTCTGACCCCATGGGGTAGCCAGGGAGCGGGGAGATGCCACAAAAGCAGCAAAATAGCCTGACTCCCACCACATCCCAGTGCGTCAGCTGATGGAAAGCATGAGCAGCCTGATGCAGCGGCCTGAGGTACTTCTGGCTGCTGTGTGCTGAAGGTGTCTACACAAGTGTGACAGAGTGGCCCTGGTACCGGGTCTTGGTGCCCAAAGGAGGGGAACCAGTTGGGACAAAGATGTCATATGGACCCAGGCTCTCCTAGGCAGAGACAGGTGAAGGACAAGGGGGCACCCAGGTGGAGGCTGTTTAGGCTGCCAGCTTGGGAAGTGCCAACCCATCATGTCCAGCAGGGAATGGAGTGACTTATGGGTGCATGGCAGAGTCCACAGGAGCCCTCAGAGGTCTCCCCTGGGTCTGCAAGCTGCTTGAACCTCAGCTCCGGTATGAAGTAACTGAACCATCCTTTTGCTCATTCCAACTCTTATTTTGGCTTTCAACCTTTACAAGAGATTTCCTCACATGAAGTTTTTTCCCTGCTCTTCCTTCCATGTCCAGAGCCACAGATTCCCTGGATGCCCTACTGCTCAGGATGGACACATGTTCCTCTTTTCTTCCACAAAGCTGTAAGTTCCAGCTTAGAGCAGTGGAAAGCAGAGAGGCTTTTATGCAGTGCTGCAGCAATTCCTTATGTAATACCATCCTGGGAGCCCCACAGGAAGGGCAGTGTCCCATGGTGGTCCTTGAGCCACTGGTGTTTACATGCCAGACCTGGCTGGGGGCACCTGAGGCTCTGCATGGGGACATAAGTAGGATGTGGCCAGCAGCACGCATGGTACACGCACGCAGGGGAGCCAGCACTGCCAGCTGGCTGGGGCAAAGGACAAGGCTGGACATGTGGACAGTGAGGGGTGTGTCAGCACTGAGACATGGATGAGGCCCTAGGTCTGGCAGCCACTCACACAGTCTGGACATCCAGTCCCCGCCTGTAGGATGTTTCCATGGGAGGCATCACGCTGGCGCCCATGCTGGCCTGGGGGGTGCAAAAGGAGAAGGAACGAGCCCTGCCATGAGTCAGAGTTCAGGGCAGATAAAGTCTCTCTTCTCCTTCAGCCCAAGTCAGTTCCAGTCCTGACCACCTCAGCAGCCTCCACTGGCCTCACTCCAGTATGAGATCCTTCTTGTTCTGGGAAGCCCCAAATGGAACATGGCATGCAGAGAAGGCAGGGAAGAATTGCTTCATCAGCCCATTCCTGCGCTCCTGCTGACCCAGCCTGAGATCTGCCAGCCACCCTCGCCACACAGACTGTGACTGTGAGCATCTCTGTCAGAGCTCAGTGCTCCCACTCTGTAAGCTTAGCAGTGCCCTGAGCCCTTGGCAGCTCAGCCCTGTGCTGGCCTTGTCTGCAGCCTTGAGCCATGTCAGTGCAGTTGGGCACAGGGCTGGCAGTGCTGCCATCAGGGCGGGTAGCCCAGGGCTCAGCCCTATGCCCAAGCTGTCCCTCCGGACCACCAGCCTCATACCAGCAGCCAGCAGCAGGGCAGTAGCCTCATGGTTACATAGCGGGGAGTTACATAGCTGGCAGGGAGCCAGCCCTGTCCCCTGCTTGCTGCTTGGGCGGTGAAGGTCGGAGCACCAGGGATCCCTGCTTATCCCCTGTTATCTTCCAGACAAACCCAAACTGCGTCCTGAGTCCCTGACACACTCACACACTTGGCAGCCAAGGCTGCACTGTACTGTTCCATAGATCCCTCCCCGTGGGGTCCCACGGAGCTGTGAATACAGCCTGGGCATGGGGCAGTCCCGGGGGTGCTGGGGGTGAGGGGGCACAACTCACACATGGGGCAACCCCGCAGCCACTAGGGGTGCAGGGGACAGGACAGGAGCACAGTACAGTGTGGTAGAGTCCATGGCAGGAGGGCTCTGTAGATCCCTGTGGGCTGGCGGAAAAATGGTCCTCCTGGGGCTGGGGTACCTCTGAGCAGAGCCCTTCCCAAGTGCTAGCATGCCAGCCCCCATCCTGCTAGCCCTCATCTAGCTGGATGAAAACAGCCCCTGGGGTGGAAACATCCTTCCACAAGACATGGGAGACCTTTGAGACACCTGGAGCAATGTCACGGGTGGCACACGACAGCCCTATCACCGTCACAGGGTGGACTCTGCCCTCTCTGCATTGCATGCTGTCAGGGAAATCCTGATAAGGTGAGATAAGCCATCACTGCTGAGCCCTATCTATCAGCCTCTGGTGTCCCCGGGTTAGGGTTAGGGCTCGTGGGGCTCCACAAACTGCCCCTCCTGACCCCGCCGGCCTGCAGAACCCCAGTAGTGCAGAGCATCAGCCTGGACACAGACATGGCCCTGGAAGGAAGAGCCATACCAGTGAAATCATGGTGGTCCTTCCTTCCTTGCTTCTGTCCTTCTTTCCTTCCATCCTTCCTTCTGTCTTTTTCTTTCCAGCCCCTTCCCAGCTCCCTTTTGGCAGAGAGGTGCAGCTGGACTCCAGTGGGCCAATTCTCCAGAGCAGGGCTGGCATCCCTCTGGGATGGGGGATGGGGGTTCCCAGACTCACTGGCCAAGCTGAGATCTGTCCCACAGCCCAGCTATCCTCCTGGGGTATTTCCAGGGGAGAGAGATCCCAGTTCCCAGGTGCATATTGTACAGCATAGGTTGGGCCACCAGTTGGAAAGCAGTTCTGCAGGGATGGACCTTGGGATTCTGCTGGGCACCAGCTGAGCAGGAGCCAGGGATGTGTCCTCACAGCAGCAACCCCAGCTGCACTAGGCAGAGCCGGGCAGGGAGCATCAGCAGGAAGCTGTGCTGCTCCAGCTGGGATCACCCAGACAAGGCACAGACATGTGGGGTGAGTCCAGCAAAGGGCCATGACTGTGGTGGAAGAATTGGAGCACCTATCCTGGGGGGAGCGGCTGCGGGAGCAGTGGCTGCTGTCTGGAGCAGAAGAAGTTCGGAGAATCCTGCTAACACACAGGCAGGGAGGGTGCCAAGAGGCCACAGTTTGTCTCTTCCCAGTGGTGCCTAGCGCCAGGATAAAGTGCAATGGGCACAAACTAGGACATGGGAGGTTCCTTTGAACATCAGGAAACAACTTTGTACTGTGAAGGTCAGGCAGTAGCAGATAATGCCCAGGGAGGCTGTGGAGGCTCCATCCTCGAGGATCCTCCAGCCTTGAACAGTCTTAGGCCATCGGCAACTTCCACAGGAGCTGGGCAGGACAGTGCTCTGTGTCTTGACTGCATACCGTGCCCCTGGGCAGAGGCATGCTTACAGCCCATGTGGGTGCATGCACACGACTGGGCACGCACAGCACACAGACACGTGCACACACACACACACACACGCACATGCGTACACATGTGCACAAGGTGAGTGTGCAGGCACCTGCACACACCTGCACACACACCTGTGCCCAGTCATGCACGTGAGGGCACATGCATGGGTGCCCAGGAAGAGAGAGCATGGAGTGGGTGCGGCTGTAGCAAGGGCTGCCTAGGATGGGGGGCCAACGGGACAGGAGAGTGCCCTAGATGGGGTGGTACCCGCGATGGGCGGGTGCCTGCGATGAAGGGGTGGTACCCGCGATGGGGAGGTGCCAGCGCTGCCCCTCCCATTGCCCTGCCCCAGGGCGGGGCGGGGCCTGTTCGGCGTGGGCCAATCAGCACCGAGTCCGCCCCGCGCGCGGGGTTAAAGGGGGGCGCGGGGCGGGGGCGGTGCGCGGGATGTGGGTGCGCGTGGTGCTGGCCTGTGCGGTCCTGCGCGCATGCGCGCGCGCCTGGCCCGGCGGGGCCGTGTGCGCGCGGGAGGCGGCGGGCGGGGGCGGCGCGCGCTACGTGGCGTTCCTGGGCCGCGGTACCGGCACCGGCCCCGCGCTGGTCGAGAGCGCCTTGGCCGCCCCCGGCCGCCTTCGCGCCTGCTGGGCCCGCCGCGACCCGCGTCTTGTCCGCGCCTTCCGCGCCGCCTGCGCGCGCCGCCCGCCCGCCGTGCCCGGGGCCGCGCTGCGCCGGGCCCTGTCCGCGCTGTGGCGGCGCCGCGCCGCCTGCACCGACCCCGCAAAGGCGGGAGCGCAGCGCCAACGCCGCCGCCGGGGCTGGACGCTGCCGGGCACGTTGTGGTGTGGCGCCGGGGACTCGGCAGGGAACTGGAGCGAGCTGGGTACGGGGCGGCGGGGGGCGGCGCGGGCAGCTGGGCTCCCTCCGCGGGGTCGCGCTCACCGGCGCCTCCGCAGGGCTGTTCCGCGGCCCCGATCGGTGCTGCCGGGAGCACGACCAGTGCTGGGCGCAGATCACGGCGCTGCAGTTCAACTACGGCATCCGCAACTACCGCCTGCACACCGTGTCCCACTGCGACTGCGACGCCAGGTGCGCCCAGGGCCGGGGGAGGGGCACCGGGAGGGCTGGGGACACCAGCCCCGCTCACCGATCCCTGCCTGCAGGTTCCGGCATTGCCTGCTCGCCATCAACGACACCGTGTCCAACATCATCGGCGTCACCTTCTTCAACCTGCTGGAGGTGCCGTGCTTCGTGCTAGAAGAGAGCGAGGAGTGCATCCAGTGGCACTGGTGGGGCGGGTGAGTGCCTGGGGTGGGGCCCCGGTCCCCAGTGCACCCTGCCTAGCTGCCCTACCGGGCATGGGTTGGCTGGGCTGGTGTGCAGGGCCTCACAGCATGTGGTGTCCCCAGGTGCGAGCGTTATGGTGTTGTACCCTTGGCCAGGATGGTGCAGCAGAGTCAGTACCACCCCAGCCTGCCCGCAGAGGAGAGAGGCAGCTCTGCTGCACAGCCCCCGGGTAAGGGAAGGAATTCCTCTAGAGCAGGGCGCAAGCGGCTCCGACAGGAACTGGAGCCGAAGCCTGGGCGCCACCAGGCACGGAGACCTGAGACAGCCCAGCAGGACCCAGGTATCCCTGCGTTGGCCAGGGACAGGGCTGAGCCCACAGCCAGGCACCGAGCAGCGCAGCAAGGGCTGAAGCCTGGCCCCCCAACAGCACTGACCACGTTGGGACAGGATCCAGCTGGAGCAAGGAGCGCACTGGGAAGAGCAGAGCAAGGAGCTGAGGGCTTGGCCCACCCTTGGGATGGCAGTGTGAGACCCAGCCCAACCGCAGCAGGATGGAGTGGGCCCACCCCAGTGCCCAAGGTGGAAGAGCGCAGGCAGCAGGGTGAGCTGGTGCCGTGGGTAGAGCATGCACCACAGCTGGGGTGTCTCAGGGCCTCAGCCTGGTGGGGTCATATGCTGGGGGTGCCCTTCACCTCCCTGCTGTCCTCAGGCCCAGGCAGGGTGTGCAGGTGCTACAAGCACCTGGGTAAGTGTGAGCACCAGATCGCACCCCACAAGGTGAGGTACCAGCTGCACAACGTGAACAGCCAGACACTCCTCCACTGCAACTGCACCCGCAGGTGCGTGTCCAGGAGGAAAAGAGCACTGTGTGCAGACAGTTTGGGATCAGAGGAGGTGGGCTGTCCACCCTGGCCAACACCTGCTGACCACAGCCCTCCTGTGCCTGCAGGCTGGAGCGGTGCCTGCGCAGGGTGAGGAACTGCAGTAACATGGAGGTGGCTGTCCTGGCTAACCACATTGCCACAGACTGCTTTGTTCTGGAGCAGCTTGCTGCCTGCAGCCCAGGCAGGGGTTCTCAGGACAGGTAAGTGCCAAGAATCAAGAGGCTGTGGCCTGTGTGGGGCATGAAGCCAGGAGTGTAAGCACTGGCCCCTGCTCTGCCATGCCATGAGCAGGCTGCAGGGCAGGCAGTGGCTGTCAGTGCTGCAGGGTTACACTGACATGCCCAGCTTTGCTTCTCCAGCAGCTGTACCACAGTGACCAGGGCTGTGCTTTTACCTGCAAAGCGGCTCAAAAAGACCCTGAGGCGTTGGGGCTCTCTTCATGTGAGCTCCAAGACCAAGCATCCAGACTGGAAGACACAGGCCTGGGGAGGCACCCTCTGTGAGCAGTGCCAGCACCTGGCCATGGAGCAGGGGCTGGGTGCTCAGCCCCACACAGTGCCCCGATGATGCCTGAGCAGTGCTGCCTTGGGAAGGAAGGGGAGGAAGATGTGCTGTGCAGTAGCTGCAGCCTACAGCTGCTTGGTTCCTGGTCCTTTAGACAAAGGATAGCAATGAGCACAGCTGCTGGCATGACTGCATGGAGCTGGGGACCACAGCCAGAGCAGGCAGAGGGACTGAGAAGACTCAAGGAGTTGTGGTTGCCATCCACAAGCATCAGAGTAAGGGGAAGAAAATAGGAGGGCTCAGGAAAGGGGAAACTTATTGTTTTCCCTTCCCAGTTGTGCTCTGGGGCCAGGGGGATGGCAGGGCCCCCCACCCCTATATTGGTGACCCTTCAACTGGGGGGCCTGAGCAGTGAGGTGTGATCCTGACCCCCCTTGCCCAGGCACAGTAGGATGGCTGGGGTCAGTCTATGCATGCAGCAGAAGATAAATAAAGAATGGTCAGAGCATGGTCTATGGTGCCAGGGCTGAGCCTTCTGCCCCCTGTTCACGCTGCAGCCCCCACCCCCAGGGCTGATCCTGCCCTCTGGCAGTGACCACAGTGCAGCTGGAGTGGGCAGGATCGTTTATTTTGTTGCTTGCACTATGTCCAGGCTGAGGCACAGTGGTAGAGCAGGGAAGGAGCAAGCTTTGATCTCTGGGGTACCCTGGGATGGTCCTCGCTCTGTGCCCATCACCATTCCTGCCAGAGCCCTGCCTTGGCCTCCCCTGCCACCTTGGGTGCAAGGCCAGCACTCCTGTCATGGGACTGAAGAATCCTGCATGTGGAAGTTCATGAGGGTCTCCCCAAACTGCACTAGACCAGCTTTGCCCACCCTCCCCTGGGTCACCTCCCAGCCCTGCCCTGGGGAGCAGCTTGGGCTGAGGGGAGCAGAGGGGAGTACCCCTACCTGCCAGGCACACAACAGGGGTGAGGAGTCACTGCAATAAATAAGGGAGGGGGTGTCTTAGCAGGGAAGTGGCAGAGGAAAGCACACAGCGAGCGCGCTATGGGGAGGAGGAAGGGGGCCACTGCATCAGCGGCCCATGGCACAGCTATGGCTGTCCAGTTCCTGGGGGCTGCAGCCCTCTTTTGGGGATGTGCCACAGCCTGGGGGGCTGGTGGGGCTCATCCTCCGGCAGGGATAATAGCCCTGATCCACATTCTCTTGCCGCCAGCCCAGAGCCTTGTCAATCATCTCCAGGCGGAGTGCAGGCAGCAGGCCCAGGTTCCGGGGGTCAGCCCTGGCCAGCGGGCTGTCAGTGGAGACACGCTGGGAGCCACCCTGCTCCTGTACAGTCTGGTAGAAAGAGCTGCCCTCCAGGTTGTCAGCTGCCTGCCTCAGCTCCTTGCCTTTGGCTCCACAGCACCCCAGCTCTTCCTGGGGCACATGGATGGTGGGGATATCCCTGGGGGGGCCGCGGCGGCTCTGGGGCGAGGGGCTGCGGCTCGTTCCCCTGTCCCGGCTTGATGGCCGCAGGATGAGACCCTGGAACTTGGCCAGGCTTGGGCTTCGGCTCCGGTGCCGTTTCATCTTGCCCGGGCTGGGGCTACGGGATTTGGGGGCCAACAGGACAAGTGTACTGTCATCCTCTTCTGAGCTGCTGCCTGAGCTGTCCGTGGGGCTGCTGCCCTCCTCTGACCTAGGCAGGGAGATCTGCACCCCTGCATCAGCACTGCTGGCTGACTCTCACAGGGGGCTGTGGGGTACCACAGCAGCTGGTCTCCCCCAGCCAGGGATCCCCACATACATCCCTCCCCCTGCCTCCCCCAGCCCCTCACCCTCGTCTCTTGGCTGTGCTCACCTGGAAAGGCTCAGTCACACCAGCGATGCTGCTGGAGGTGTTGCTGTAGTATCCAAGGATGTACTCGCCGTTCCCCTTGGGCAGCGCTTCCTCAGAGAACATCACCTGCAGCCCAGAAACACCTGGTGGACACCAGGGCTGGGCACAGGGGTGCCCCCTCCCACCTCTAGCCCCAGCCAAAAGCACAAATTCCTGCTGCCAGCACCACAGGCCTGACGGAGGCTCAGCACAAAGCAATAAGGTGCCCTCCGCCCCCATCCAGGGGCACAAAGGGGCCATTGTTCCCCCACAGTGGGACAGACGTGCCAGCAGGGCTGGCCCCAGCTCACCTGTGCACAGAGCTGCTTCTCTAGGCAGCGCTCCCCATCATCACTCCTGGCCCAGACATAGGACACATAGTCTTTAGGGTGCCGAAAGCCTACCTGTGTTACACAGGAGAACACAGGTGAGTGGGGGAACATCAGCCCCACTTGGCACCATCACCCGTGCCTGGCCTGCACTCCCTGCTTACACCAGGGAGACCCAGAGCTGTCTCACACCCCCCAGGTGTACCAGGGCCCTGTGGGGCCTGTGGAGCAGGAGGAAGAGGGAACTGCTGGACCTGAGCCTCCTGAAGCAGAGCCACGTCATGCTGCCAGGGGAAGAGAGGGCACAGCTCCATGCTCTGCACCCATGTTCGCTGGTGAGGGGTAGCTCAGAAGGGACCCCCGCAGTGCTGTGCAGTGCTCCCCACTCCCTCCAGCCCCAGCAGCCCCCAAGCCCCTACCCGGTAGAGTCCTATCCAGTCCCAGGAGCTCCGGTGGAAGCCAACAGCCATCTTGTACCTGACAACTGCTTGCTCAGGCCTGCTCCACTCGTCAGCCACATAAATCTCAACCGGGGGCTTGTCCACCTTGGAAGCAAACTGTCAGAGACAGGTACATGGTGAGCAAGGGCATGGCAAAGAGCTGCCCCTGTTGCCCAGCGGCACCTCTCTGGGTCTGGGCCGCCGTGCATACACCCACAGCAGCCCCCAGCCAGGGGCAAGGCAGCTGAGTTTGCCAAACAGAAATAAAGTACGCCACCCCCCACAGAAGCTGGGCATCCCACTCCTGCAGCTCCTGCCTGCATTCCCACCAGCCCTGGACAGTGCTCACCTGCACAGCAAAGATGGCAGCTACTGGCTTGTGGTCGCTGACGGTGTACTCCATGTGGCTGCAGTAGCAGAGCTGGCTCACCGACAGCACACCCCGGCTGGGCCGGTGCCTGCCTGCCCCCAGCCCTTTGCTGGGGGATTTGATCTTCCATAGGATGCGGTCAGTCCAGGCAGGTTTTCGCTTCTTGGCACTGCAGGGCACAGAGGGGCATCTCTTGCCTGGCAGGGGCAGTGGGCTCTGACCCAAACTGCCTCCTCCTGGCACTAAGGCATGCATGGGCAGAGGGTGGAGCTCATCTCGGCACTCAGCTCAGCGTGGCTGCAGGGATAGACCTGCACTGGCACCAGCACTGCAGTCGTGTCCCAGTCCAGCCCATGCCTGCCCCAGCACAGCTGCTCCCCCCACCCATCCGCACAAGCATCCGCCCTGGCTCTGAGCCTCACTGCTCCTGCATCCCTCTCCCCCAGCTCACGCCCAGCTCTGCTCTCCTACCTGCTGTCGTACTTGTTGGTGCCGACATCAAATTTAAAGGTGGGTGGGAAGTTCAGGGGTCCCTCCTGAAAGCCTCTGAGAACAGGCCAGGTGCTTTTGGCAATGTTCAGCTGCGGGAAAGAGAGAAGGTAAAGGAGCACACCAGCCCCCATGATCAGACCAAGATCTCTCTGGTCTCACACAGTCACATCCTTGCCCCATTCCTGCCAACTCCCACAGCTCTCAGGGTTTGTCCATCTATGCCAGCAGCCAGTTTGTAGACCCAGTGCCTCAGGTCTTCCTCACACTAACAAGGGAAGCATGTGCCCAGCTCAGTCTGACCAGGGACTCTGCTGCCTCTTCCCCACAGAGACAAGAGAGCCAGAGCTCCTCCTGCCCTATGGGCTGCAAGGGGACATGTCCTGTCCCACAGCTGCACAGACAGTTTTGGGGAGAGTCAAACACTGCTCAGGGCCCAGTGGAGTCTGGCAACGTGCCCATCCCTCACCTGGTCCTTCTCCCAGAGCTGGCTCAGGACGTTGCTGTCGATGGCATACTTCACAAAGCAGATGTCCAGGCTCTCAATGCGGAAATTGAGGTCCCCAAACCAGAACACAAGGCTGTGGGAGAGAGGGCAACGGGCTGAAAGGGCTGAGGCTACTGGAGCTGGGGACAGCAGGGGAATAATGTCCCCAGACTGTGTGCAGCCTCAGCCTGCAGCACAGGCACTCTTGGGAGCACTGGCACAGGTCAGCACTCAGCCGGCAGCCTGGCCAGCTGCCAGGAATCTGCAAGGTAGGACTAGGCATCATTAACCAAACCAGACAGACTGCCCTGAGCTAAAATCGAGGGTGGAAATTTCCACAGTGAGGCACCCACCAGAGTCAGACTACACAGGCTGTGCAGAGCTGGGCCCTCCACCTCACCGGTCCCAAACCACAACTGGACTAGTACAGCAGGAACTGCACCAGGCCTGAATGTACCCTTACAGGAGACCAAAGACCCCTCTAAACACCTACCCCATCATGCTGAGTTCCCACTGAGCCACGGGACAATTCTGCAGTTCTGCAGACAAGACCTGATCTCCAGGCTGTGCTGGGATGCAGAGGTCAGACCCCAGACCCTACATGGGGGAGGGTCAAGGACTGGGGCTGGCACTAGAGCCCAGACCGGGGAGCAAAGTGGTGGGGTACGCACTCGTGGTCCAGGATGCCGTTAGCCACACGCCCCTCAAACTGCTGCATGTGCAGTATGGTGGCAAAGTCCTCCTTGCGCTGCTCCGCCTTCTCCAGGTGCGCTGGCAGGTGGCAGTTCAGGAAGCAGACCATGTGGCCGAAGATGGAGAGACGAACACTCACCCCACCCTTGTTGCCCTGCACCGAGAGGATCCCATGACTCCTTGGGAAGCCAGCCCCTTGCCACCTTCCCCCAGGGCCACACTCACCCAGTAGCCCCCTAGCCCCGTCCTGGTACAATCTGTCTGGATGTCCTGCAGAAAGGGCAGGTGGTAGTACTTGGCAAACACCAGCAGGATCACACCTTGCATCCGCACCGTGCTGACCTGGAATGGGAGCAGGAGCTGGAGCAGGATGGTAGAGAGCCCACAGGGGCCATGAGGCAGCACCTCCATCCTTCGTGTACCCCCCCATCCTGCAGGTGACTAACAGCATGTTCAGTTCAGAGATCTGTGTGCACCCTCCTGAACACCGACAGCCAAGCCTGAGCCTCAGAGATGCTGGGCTTATATATGTTCTGGGGTGAGTGCCTCCGGGAGCCGAACCTACCTCCGGGCCCACAAGCTGCTGTCAGCAGCACAGGCCAGTTCCCACATTCACCTCTGCACCCTGGTTCAACGCAGCAGGACACAAGAAGTGGCCCCAAAGCTCCAGAGGGGAAGCATAAGCATAGGAAAAGGAGCAGGGTGGCACAAGCCAGACAGCTCACTGGCAAGGTGCAGCACTGGCCCCCACATACTGTTTGGAGGCTACAGGCTGTCTCTCCAGCCAGCTCTCCCACCGCACCTCCCTCTGCCCTGCAGTCCAACTCTCCCTCCCTGTGGCACACCTGCCTGGCAGACAGAGGGAACACCAGCTGCCAGCTTCTTCAGGACTCCTTACCAGGATGAAATGGAAGGGACTCAGCACATCCATGAAGAGCTCGCTCCACTGATCTGTGAAGAGGGCATCCTTCAGGCGCTTGTTTATCTTGGAGTTCACCTCCTGCAGCCTGGGAGGAAGGGGATAGGTCCCTCAGCCACACCAGGAAAGTGTCTGTGTCCCAAGTAGTGAGAGCTCCTTGGGAAAGTTGCCAAAGCACAGTACTGGGGAGCAGTACAGGGTGGGAAGGGCAGTTCAAGGGAAGACCCTAGGTTTAGAGCACAAACCAGCCACGTCCTTGCTCCAGTGATGCTGGACCATGTGCTGGCAGGAGGCACAAGTGGCCCTGAACCCAGGAGGCCTTGGCCCCTTCTAAAGCAGAAGCAGTTCAGCTGCACAGAGCTGGGCAGCAGCCTAAAGCCCATCTCAAGGTGCAAGAGGGGCTTAAAGGGCCTTTCAGTTGAATCAGTCTCTACACAGAAGTCAAGTCTCACCAGCGCAGGGTGTCCAGATGCATTCGAGCCACCCAGCTTGGAGCAGCAGCAACCAGAAAGTTAGTAGTGCTCCTCCCAGCTCAGCAATTAGTGAAAAGAAGGAACAATGTCCACAGAGAACAGCAGAATCAGGAAGTGTCTTGCCCAAAAATATCAGGTGCTTGGTGCACAAAGACACAGGTCAGAGGAAGGAGACAGCCAGAGATGCCGGGAGGTGAGAACTGTGGGATACCCTGCCCTGGACCTAACACGGTCCCAGCACATCCCATGGTGTCAGCTACACCCCCCACCCCATCCATCCAGCTCAGGTCCATCTCCACAGCCCACACAGTCCCATCCCACTGGTCCGCAAGGCCGAGGAGACTGGGAGATTTGCTCTAACACAGTGTTATAGCTCTGGCAGCCTCAGCCTTCCACCACTATCCCCTAGGAGCTCCAGGGCAGTCCCTGGCAGCCTCCTGGAGGCAGATCCAGCTCTCCTATATCACACTTGCAGGCAGAGGCTACTTCCTGCTCCCTGTGCAAAGACACAGTGCAGCCCCGGCCTTAGCAGGAATCCACACACCACCACAGACCTCAAGGGACCAGTCTGTGCTCAAATGCTGGCAAGCTCGTCTCACCACCACACTGTGGCACTGCCTTGCAAGCAGCTCCGTGTACCAGGGGCATGGAGCCAACCCAGCTGTGGGAGAACAGCAGATCTATGCCCTTGAGGCCTGCATACCATGCACAAAAGCAGAGAGGAGGAAAACACTCCCAGAGAACTTGGGGCAGGTGAGTTAAATGCCTCGACAGACCTGACCCCAGGACTGCCATGGCTCACTTGGCCTGGCACAGCCAGCCTCAGGCTTGTTGAGGATTCAAGTCTAATCAGTACTCAAGGGTTTTGGTTCCTCTCAGCACTCACATTCTACCAGGAGCTGATTGCCCATCACCTTTTCGGATATATTACCATTTGTGATGTACGTGCCTCCCTCCTCCCCGGGACTCAGGGAGGCTGAGGCTGCAGCTCTCCCATTCCTCATGCCCCAGGGCTGTGGGGATCCCCTGAAAAGGGATACGGCAGAGCAGGGGAGGGGGCCTTGCACCTCACCGTCTTACCCAATGGCGATCATGTCCACATCGTTTGTCTCGCCCGTGTTGAGGTGCAGCAGGGATGTCACATCATTCGGGGGCATGGCTGTGCCTACGTTCCAGGTGACCACTGTGATGCTTGGGAGGACAAAGGAAGAACAGGCTAACACTGGGGCTGAGAGGGATTCCTGTCCCCCTGTTCAGCCCCCAGCTCCACCAAGGAAGCTTTTTGCTGGCAACAGAAGTAAAGACTGAAGCTTAATCAGAGCACATACACCTTAACTCCCGTTTGAGGGAGACAGGTCCTTGCTTCCAAATTCCCCCAGGATCTGCACTTGATAATTCTAAAAACCAGCACAAAGAGCCCTCATTTTCATCACCACCAGCTGATACAGGCATGCTGGCACAGCAGGCAGCCTTCAAGAAAACTGCTTCCCCTCCTTTCCCCAGGAATCACGGCTCCTGGCAAAAAAGACCCGGATCTGAGTCCTCAGCCCCTGCCAGCCCTAAAGGCCAGGGCAGCGCATGTGACAGCGGTTCCGCAGCCCCGAAGCGGTGTCCTTCAGCAGCACAAAGCCACATCCCTCACAACACATCAATGCCATTGCGCAACGGGCACCAGCAAAGGGCCCGTGGGCTCATTTGGCAGCAGCCAGGAGTCGTCTCAGTCTCAGGGACATGTTTCAACAGGGAGGGAGGGCAGTGCCCAGGAAAGCCCCAGTGCTCGGAGACAGCGGGGGCAGGTAGCCCGTGGCTCTGTTATGATATCCCGCACGGACAGCGGCACCAGGCATTCTCCTCACAGGAGCCTGCCTGACTGCAGTCCCGCACCCCAAATCCTCCAGCTGAACCCTCCACAGTGGGAGGAGAGGTGCAGCTCCAAAGCACAGCGGAGACCTCGGCACTGCGCCCCCTGTCCCCGCGATGCCCCCGCGGCCCCACTCACCGGAAAGCGCCGTCCTCCGAGGCCCGTCCCGGGCAGTCCGGCAGCGGATCGCAGGCGTCGCCAGAGCCGGGGCGGCCGAGGGGCCGGCCGAGGAGGGGCAGCTCGCCCGGCTCCGCTCGGGGGGCCAAGCCCGCCCACCCGCCGGCGAGGAACTCGCTGGACACGGCCTTGGGCAGCGCGGGGGCGCGGGGCACGGCGGGGCTCGCCCAGGCCGCGATGTGGTCGCTGGACTCCGCCTTAGGCAGCATCTCCCGCCGCTCCGGCGCGGGAAAGGCGGCCCGGCCGAGCGCTGTTGGAGACAGAGGGCCACCCGGCCCGGGGGGCAGCAGGGCCGGCAGCGGGAGCCCCTCGGGCGGGGTCCGGCCCGGGGGCCGCTCCTCGGGCCCGGCGCGCCGCGGGCAGCCGTGCCCGAAGGGGTCGCAGGCGGCGTCCGGCCGGGAGCTCCTACGGCCGACCGGGACGTCGCCGCTGAGGAAAGGCGCCGCCGAAGCCCCTGCCTCGGGCAAGGGCCGGGCTGCGCCCCCGGGGCCGCGCGGGAGGCCGGGCCGGGGCTCCGCGCCGGCGGCTGAGCCCCGGTCGGCGCTGCCGCGCCGGGCCGGGTCCATCGGCGGGCGGAGACCGGAGCGGCCCCGACCCGGCCCCGCGCACCTTGCGGCCCCGCCACGTGACGTCACCACACCATGACGTCAACGCCCGCCACCTGCGCGGCGCCTTAAAGGCGCAGGAGCATCCCCGCCTCGCGCGCACCTGCCGCACCGCCCTGCCGACGTGACGGCCCGAGACGCGCCCCTCCTCTGCCCCCGCCAGCCTGTCCTTACACCTGCACACCCGTCCCTGCTCACCTGTCCTTGCATCTGCACACCTGTCCTTGCATCTGCACACCTGTCTTTGTGTGTGCACAACTGTCTTTGCACATGGATGACTAACCTCGCTCATGTACTGCAGTCCTGCACGTACACACGTACACACATCTTTTGCGCATGCACAACAGCCATTGCAAGTACACACCTGTCCTCACACACCTGCCCTTGCCTATGCACCTCTGCCTCTGCCTCTGCACCTCTGCCCCTGCCTGCCTGTCTGCCTTAGTGCATTATTGTGTGTGCAGCTGTGCTCACCACTGTGGCTGTTGTGTCAGCATGTGCCGGGTGTGTCTGTGGTTTGCTGTGGAGTGTTTGCGATGTTGGGTGCATGCACACCCTTGGGCAGCCGTGAGTGTGCGCAGCTGCTTGTGTGTGGCTGTGTGTGCAGCTATGTTTGTGGCTCTGTGTGTAGCTCTGTGTGTGTGCAGCTGTGTGTGTGACTCTGTGTGTGTGGCTGTGCGTATGGCTGTGTGCAGCTCTGTGTGGCTCTGTGTGTGCGCAGCTCTACGTGCAGCTATGTGTGTGGCTGTGTGTATATGGCCTTGCATGGAAGGCTGTGTGTGAAGCTGTGTGTGCAGCTGTCTGGCTGTGTCTGTGTGTGCCTCTGTGAGTGGGCGCTGCTTTGTCTGTGCACAGCAGTGTCCCTGTGCTTGTCCTATTTACAGGGACTGGGACAAGTTTATCACCATGTGGATATAATCAAAACTGTATTCTACACCCTTCCGATGGACTGGTAATAAATGGATTGTTTGCAGCAGCTGCCCAGGGCACACCTGACACCTCAGGCTACAAGCTGGATGTTAAACAAACCCTGAGAGACAGGGGAATGTTCATTTATTTGCACACCAATGACTCAGCTGTGATAACTCCCCTTCGGAAAGGCATTAACACCTTCAGCCCCAGCCTGAGGGGTCATCTCTGCTAATGGACCACCTCTGACTGGCATAATAGGCAGCTGCAACACCCAGACCATCAAGGACTCCAAAAATATCCCATGACTCACAGAGTTAAATCACCCATTGTGAAGCTCCCTGCCCTGGTGGAGGTACTTGGCATTCCCACCTGAACTTGAGCATATATAAACTTCGGGTTTTGGGACTTCTGGTCAGATCCAGAGGATCCAGAGGATCCAGAGGAGGACCAAAACTTGGACAGAACTGCGATCATCATCCGGACCAACAGGTTTTCTTTTACTTTGCACCCAGGGGGGCCACGTGATGCTCAACACAGGGGTTGACAAACACCGTTCTGTTCTTGTCCCAGGGTGTGGGGTTACACATCTGCTTTTGTGGGTTAAAACCAGTTTTTCTCTCTATTGTTGTATTCATTGTAATCTTTTTAGTAAATTATAACTCTGATTTGTAATCTCTCTTGAGTTGCGTTCATTTCTCATGCCAGTTTACTTTTAAACCGGCACAGTGCTCCAGTGCAGCATAGGCAGGTATGAACACCTGTGCTTGGGGTGCATACACACGCACGTGTGTGTGTGTGTGTGCGTGCCTAGAGGGAATGGGGGACCAGGTGATACGTCTTGCCCTCAGCTTGTACTTGCCAGCACCCAGGGAAGGCTGGAGCTTGAGGAGGAGGAGAATCTTGGTGAAGTATGGAGTGAGGTAGAGGAGGATCCTGATAGGAGAGGACAAGGTCCCTGGGTCCCTGTGGGGTTGACTCACAAGCATCAGGGGAGTTGTGGTGGAGGTGGTTCCTGCCATCACGGAAGTACTGTGATCAATAGTGACAAATGGGACAGGATCAAGGAGAGACAATGTCACTGCTGGCTTCTGGAGGGGTGTAAAGGGGGATCCAGGGACCCAAGACTGATCTGCCTTACCTCCATTCTGGGAAGGTGACAGAGCAGCAAGTCCTGGAAACCATTGGTGGACACATGAACAACAACTCATTGAGGGGGTCAGATTGGCTTGCCCAAGGGGAGGTTCTGCTTGGCCACCTGATCCCCTCCCGTGATAGAGCAAGCAGCCAGCAGACACAGACAGCAGGGGACAGTGTCCACCTGCACTGCAGGGAGGCCTTGGGCACTGCCTCCCATCTGGTCCTCCTAGGGAAGCTGTTGGTGTACAGGCTGGATAAGTAGAGGTCGAGGCAGGAAGGCTGGATCCAGGGGTGGTGGTGAACGACGCACAGTTTCATGGGAGGCCGGTCACTCACAGGGTGTGTGCAGCTGCAGTGTGGAGAGTGTGTGTGTGGGGCGGGTGTGTGCATGCAGGGGTACATGATGGCTTGCACATGCAGAGCTGCATGTGCCTCATTTGTGTGAGTCCATACAGCTGGGTGTACATATAGTGGTGTGCGCACACACCATTGCACATGTGACTGCCGGTGCTGGTGTGTCTCTATGCACTGCTGTGTGTGCTGATGTGTCCGGACATAGGCACAGCTGAGAATGGCTGGAGGGAAGGTAGGAACGTGTGTGTGTCTGTGTGTATCTGTGTGCTTCTGTACAGACTGCGCATAGCTGTGCAGAGCTGTGGGCACACACCCGTGCATGCGTGCGCGTGCAGCTGTGTGAGCGTGCACAGCTGTGTGTGCCCGCACGCCCCCTGCCCGGGTGTCTCAGGGTGTTTCAGTGCGTGCTGTGGGTGTGCAAGGAGGGTGCGCGCGCACCCCCGGGTCTCTCGATGTTTCAGCGTGTGCCGTGCGCGTGCGTGGTGTGCGCGTGCACGGGTGTCTGTGGTGGTTGTGCGCGCGCGCCGCCGCGCAGGCGCGGTGTCGTGCGCGCGCCCGGGCCGGGCGGACGTGGCGGCGGTGAGGGCGATGCGGGCGGTGCCGCCGGAGCCGGGGCTGTGGGTGCTGCTGGCGGCGGCGCTGGCGGCGGGTCGCTGCTCGGAGCTCCCCCAGCTCCGCGGGGCCACGCTGCGGGACCTGGCCCGGGGCAAGGTGGAGGTGAGCGCGGACAGGGCGCGCGGGGAGGGCCGGAGGTGAGCCGGTGCCCGCCGAGTGCCTGACAGGGTGTCCCTTTCCTCAGACCTGCGGCGGGTGACGGCTAAACCGCCTCAGGGAGGTACGTAGCGGGGCCGGGGGGCGCGGGGAGCCGGGGCCGTCCCGCGCTGAGCCGGGCCGGGCCGTGCCGGCCGCTCTCCGCAGGTGAAGGCGTTCGTCACCCAGGACATCCCGCTCTAGTACCCGGCGGCGGCGGCAGCGCTGGGGCCCTGCAGGAGTGCACAGGATGGGATGGGACGGGATGGGACAGGGGCGGGACAGGATGCGAGGGGACAGGGTGTGAAGGGATGGGATGGAAGATGGGACGGGCTGAGGGAAGGATCAGATGGAGGATGGGGCTGGGTGAAGAGTGGAGGACGGGATGGTTGGGGGATGGGATGGGTCAGGGCAGGATAGGAGGATATGGAGGATGGGGTGATATGACATGTAGGACAGAAAGGGATGGGATACAATGAAGGATGGGATGGGAGAAAATGCGATGTGACAGAAGGGATGGAGGACAGTATAGAATGGGCAGAAGTGGGACGTGATGGAGGATGGAATGGGATGTGATGGGACAGGGGCTGCATGGTCCTGCCCAGTGCTGTCTGCTCCTTGACACATCATCCAGCCATAACCTGGAGATGAAACACCTGCCCGGTGCTGACCCCGAGCTCGTGCTCCTCAGCCACCGGTATGAGGAGCTGGAGGTGAGTGGGCAGCGTGGCACCCACTACTACAGGGCCTGGGGTGGTCAGTGCTCTGTGGATGCCAGGCTGCAGCCCCTGTCTGGGCGCAGAGAATCCCCCTGAGTGACATGACCCGGGAGGAGATCAACCGGCTGGTGCAGGAGCTGGGCTTCTACCGCAAGGAGACGCCTGATGCCCCCGTGCCTGAGGAGTTCCAGTTTGCCCCTGCCAAGCCACTGCCCACACTGCCACCCCCCCAAGCATCCACCACTGGCATCAAGACCCCACTCAAACGTGACAAGGGAGAACACCCAGACCTCTAGTGAGGAGTGCTGCACTTGGGACAGGGTCCTGCAGCCAGTCCACAGCACAGGGAACGAGGGTGTTACAGCAGCTGGGGATAGTGCTGTGGAGTGGCAGAGCTGCCCCCCCCCCCGCTCTTGCTTGGTGCTGTGTAGCCTCTGCCCCAAGGATGCCCTGGGTAGCTCAAACTTTGAGCAGGGGCTTCCTGGGCACTGTGGGCATCCCAAGGTTCCCATGTGGTGGTCGTTGCCTTCCCATGCCTGCCTGCAGCCTGTTATCCCTGGCCAGTTAGGAGGAGCAGCATTCCTTGCACTCCCTTGCTGTGCCCGGAGGTTTAGCTGCTCCCGGCAACTGGGCAGCTGCATCCTACCTGCATGGGACAGGATGAAACCCTCAGCAGAAAGCGACAGGTGCTAAGGGTAGATGTGCTGAGTCCCAAAGGTGGGAGAGCTGCCCCAGGGAGAGGGCTTTACCCCCCAGTAGGCTTATCTTGTATCCAGCACCCAGTAAAGCCTTTATATACAGTTGGCTGCACTGTGTCATCTTTTCAGGGCAGGCTTGGTGGTGTGCATCCTGCACTGCTCTGTGCCAAGGGGAGCTGGGTGCCCCAGAGCTGCTCAGAGGCAGGAGAGGATGGCAGGATCACAGCCACTGCTGGTGAGCCACAAACCAACCTGTGAACGAACTGTGCTGTTCCTGTGCCACCCTCCCACCCCACACAATGGAGGGATGAAGGTGGGCACCACGGCTGCTCTCACAGGGCACAGGGGGACGGGCACGAGCCCATGAGCTGGTCCTGTAGTGTTGAGCTATAGCCCCATGGCTGTGCTAGCCCAGTGAAGACATCTGGTCCTGAGCCAGGGAAGGAAGCAGGGCACAGCCAGGCCTGAGGGTGATGGGGGGCAGGGGGGGGCGCACAGCAAACCAACAGCACTGGTCAGGGTGGGGCACTGAAGGTGCCTCTCAGCTCCAGACATTATCAATGAGTGGAGGAGTACCCTGTGTCCCTCCAGGCTGGGCAAGCAGTGGGGCTGCAGGCAGAGAGGCCAGGAGTGGCCAGACTGCCAGTGCTCCTCAGGCACTGCAGTATGTGCTGTGCCACTGGTACAAGGACCTGAAACAGAGGCATCACCCTAGGTAAACCTTTATTGTCTGGCTGGTGTTGGTACACGTGTCATTACAGGTGTAGAGACGTGACGGAGGGGCGAGCGGCGCTGAGCGCGTGGTGCCCTGAGCAGGAGAGGGGAGAAGGGGCTGCCATCCTGGCTCGCTCCTTCAGCCTTGTGCTCTCCTGTGACCTCTCACCCCTGCCCGCTCCCCAGCCCACAGGTGCTGCAGCCCCTAGTGCAGAAGTGCCCCAGGTGCACGTGAAGGTGGGAAGCAGGGTGTCAGCACAGCTGTGGAGCTGTCCCCAGGGAGGTGACACCAAGCAGGGCCTGCGGTGGGCAGAGGGGCTTCCTCACAGGGAGCCAAGGGAACCACTGACAGGTGCTGCCTGTGGGATGCCTGGCTAGGCTACACGGTACGGTCCTGCTCAGCCACTGACCCACACTGTGCCCCAGGCCTGAGAGCGCAGCTGTGCCACCCAGGGACACAGGAGTGCTGCCTGCAGGGTACACAATTCCTGGAGAACAAATAACTTAACAGGCTGGAGCGCAGGGGGCAAGCCAAGCCAGGAGCATCCCCAGCAGTGCCTGCCTGGCCCTGTTCATGGGGTCAGCCCGCAGCTGGCCAGGGCAGAGGCAGCTCTGGCAAGGCAGAGGCATGGGACTGCCTGGGTATCAGAGTTCCCCCTGTCCCCAGTGCCAGACCTGTGGCCCTGCCAGACCCTCCTGGGGCAGGCAGCTCCCCTGCCCACTGGCAGCCCTGGCAGCAAGGACAGTAGGGGGGTGGGCAGGGCAGGCTCTAGCACTCTTTCTGCCGCATGCGCAACTCGTGGCGACGCAGGTGGTTGTAGAGGGACTGCACGTAGGTGAAGACGCACTTGGCGTCTGGCTTCTTCCCCATGATCATCATGTCTTCGACCTCCACCAGCGGCACGCAGTCCACCAGCGTCCTGCAGAGGTGAAACCCTCAGGCAAGCTGCCCTGCGTGGAGGCTGGGATGGAACCCCACACTGCCCAGGGCCTGCTTGCATTGGGCACTGCTTCCCTCAGCCCCACGTGGCTCCTGCCAGCCCTCTGGTACCCCCGGTCCTGCCGCTCCTGGCGCTGGGAAGATTATGTGTTGCCTGCCCTGGAGGCTGCCTGTCCTGGGGGGTTTGTCCACCTGCCTGCACCCCTTGCCCCCCAGTGCTCTCTGCCCCAGCTCTTGGTGGTGGTAGTCACGCCCTGCTCAGGCTGTGCCCACCCCTCTCCTCCTCCAGCGGCTGCTGGTGCCCCCTAGGGAGAGCCCTGCTTGCCTGCACATACCTCTGAAGCCTCAAGCCCCACCGGCTGGTCCAGGGAAAGCAGGGATGGGGGGCGGATCTCGGTCACAGGCTGCCCCTCACTCCTGCTTCAAGCCCTGGCCCTGCTCCTCTGCCTCCTGCCAGCCCGGCTCCCAGCTTTGCCCCAGACTAGAGCTCAGGCCTGCCTGCCCCAGGCCCAGCACTATTGGGGTAGGCACTGCCCTGCTTCAGTGAGTTCAACCTGGTCTGTGCCTACTGCCTCCTCTCCCAGCTCCAGCATGGTGTAGGGGTCCGTGCAGGACCCTGCTCCAGCAGCTACCAGCCTCGGGGGGCCATGGCAGATCAGCCATGGCTGTGCCCCAATCCCCACAGCCTCAGGGCTCTACCATTGCTCCTCTGCTGGGGTGCCCACCCTGTCCTCACCACCCATCCAACTCCCTGGGCCGCTTTGTCCCCAAACTGGGGCTCCCTGGGTGCTCAGGGCCGTTAACACGATTATGGGTCACTATGACAACCAGGCAGGGCATGGAGGTGATCTAGCCACCTCCATCCTCTAGTCTTTCTACTGGGGGAGTAGGTGCAGGGGGAGGGGGGGCAGAGAAGCAACCCTGCCACTGCTGCAACCCCCATCCTGGCCCTGCCCAGGCCCCTGCATCCCTGCCAGGCATTGTCCCCTTATGGGAACTGATGGTGCTGGAGCACCCCGGCTGCTGCTGCTGCTGGGGAAAGGGCTGTGCCAGCACTGGGGGCTGAGCTGGCATGAACTGGCAGCCCCCGCTGCTGCCATGGCTGGCTCAGCTGCTCCGGCCCTGGGCCACCCTCCAGCAGGGCTCTGCTGCAAGGACAGGATGCACAAGGAGGGTCCAAATCCCATGCTGCCACCCACCACCACAACACCCTCATCTCTGTCCCCCCCTCCCCCTGCTGTAGCCCCACGGTGTGCCTTGACCCTCCAGAACAGCCCCTCCCTCCCTCCCCCCCTCTCTGAGGACAGACCCCCAGCTGTTGCCAGCCCCTGGGGAGCACTAGGGCCCAGGAGATCCCCACCCCAGCCCCCACAGTCCCAGCCTTCCCATGGTGCCTTTGCTACGCTGGTCAGTGGGCTCTGAGCCCACAACCTGGCTGGCACCAGCCCCACCTCATGATTCGGCCACCGTGGGGATGGGGGGGCCCCACTCAGGGCCTTGGAAAAGCCCCTGCCTGGCTCCGGGGGTGATGGCGGAGTAATGGCAGCACACAGAGAGCAGCTCTGCCCTTATAAAGCCATTGTTTGGGCTCCGGTGTGCCAGTGCTGTGCAGAGCCAGGGGAGCCATGGCTCTAGCACCAGACAGGATGCTCCGAGACAGGCACAAACACTGCAGGATAAGGCAGGACCTGAGCCTTGAGTCACACTTTCCAGACTCCTGCTTCTGCCCATATATGAGCAGGCAGCACCTCGGGGCTGGGCATATGCACGCTGGGGAGGGAAAGGAGGCAGCAAGTGCAAGCAGTAATGCTGCAGCAGCCCGGGGGGGGGTCACCCACATTCAGGCGGCGCCACTCAGAGCACAGAGCCGAGTCCCCAGCAGCTCATCCTTGGATCAGGCTCAGCCAGGGGGAGGGATCTGTTCTCACTATTGCCCTCCCCAGAGCTGGAGAGTCAAGATCCCTATAGCATGACACAGTCCCCACTGCCCAAGCCCCCATGGGTGCTATTCCAGAAGGCCCAAGGACAGTCTGCCTCTGCCCATCTGCCAGCTGCCTCTGCCCATCTCCTGGCTGCAGTGGGGCCCTGCCTGGCACCACCGGGACTTGCCCCTTGCCCACTGGCATCCCCCAGCCTTGTCCCCAGCCGCGGCAGCTGCTTCCCAGCCGAGCCCTGGTGGTGGTGGGGCACGGGCAGATACTTGGAGGGGAAGGTTCTCACCATTGGTCCTTGGGGGGGGTGACAATGGGCTACGACTTTTTGGTTTTTACCAGCCCCTTCTGGACCAGGCAGCGATAGAATTCCTGAATGTATGTGTACACACACTTCCAATCTGGCTCGCGCATCCGGACCATGTCCTCCACGTCCAGCAACTGTGGACAGTCCGCGTGCTTCCTGGGTGCAGGGAGAGAGAGGGGCAAGCCAGTGACCACAGCCCAGTCAGGGAGGGGAGGAAGAGAAAACAAGAGACACAGATCAGTGCAGTTCCCATCCCCCCAGAAGCTGCTCTGCTCTGGCATGCTCCGGGGGTGCGCGATGCAGGGGCAGGAAGGCTCCGGGCACCCCGTGCCAAGGCCATTCAGTGAGACTGGAGAGCACAAGCAAGGGGAGGGGGAAGGGGCAGCAGGTGAGCGGCGTGGAGAGGCGTGAGGTTCAGAGGGAAGGACAGACAGAGGAGGAGGAAGAGGAGGAGTGAGGTGTTCTGGTGCGCCAGGTGCTCGGGGAGCGGGTTCCAGAGTGGAGCGACGCTCTATATAGCTCCTATATAGACCTGTTGGGAGGATGGCGGGGCAAGCCCAGCCCTCCTGCCCAGCTCCGCTTGGAACCACGCAGCACAGCCCTGGTGCAGGAAGCTCAGGAGAGGACGCTCACAAGAGCTGGAGGAGGAAGGACGAGAGGCCACCTGGCTTCCAGGCTGGAGAGATGATGGCTCTCTCAAGTCCGTGCACTGGTTCCCCAATTAAGGCAAAAAATCCATTACCAGGAGCACCAAGAGCCAGGCCCGCAGCTCCCTTCTTGCTCCACTAAACAGCACCACGGCATCCAGGGAGCTCATGGGAGCCCCCAGCTCACCCCATGGCCCCGGACACCAGCCGAATGGGACCCCCACCCCTGGCCCTGCCCCCAGGCAGGGTACTGAAGGAGAGGAGTGGAGGGGTGGGAGAGAGACAGAAGGAAGGAGAGAGGGGCTGGCTGCCAGCCCTCCAGCTGGGCGCACTCCCATCTCTCAGCACCCAGGAAAATCAGAAGCAAAAGGGGAAGGGAGGAGACTAGAGAAGCTGCAACGGTGTTTGAGCCTCTATGACTGTGAAAGGAGGTACCTGGCACGGGCAAACCCCGCTACCCACAGGCTGCAGTCCCAAACCCGGCACCTTGGGATGGGATGTACTGCCTGCAGCCAGGTGGGCTTGGGATCTGCTGCCTTGCCCTGTGCTTGGGAACCCAGACC